AAAAAAAAAAAGAAAAATCTAGCAATGCAGAAAATCATGAAAATCAAATCTTCAAATAATATAACCTCTTCTTTTTCCTCCAAAACAATCTTCGTTTCCTTCGCAAAAAAGGATCTCGTCTCGAAACATCGATACGAAAACATCGAGATGGGTATTCTGATTATTCGAGTAGTAACAATGAAATTCAGGAGAAGCGCTCTGAAAAGCGAGCTTGAATATGGAGAAGCTCTATCCATCGCGCCAACTTCCACGATCATCGTGCCTCCGAGAACTCCGTCCTCGAGTGGCGGAAACTCGGTGCAAGAGATCGTAGACCGTCTTCGAGCAATCATTATTCGAGGTCGTTCAAAATAATGGATTTCTGATCTAATTACTCGGGTAGGGATGGCCGTTGCAAGAGGTTGAGAATCCTCTTTCTTTCGCCCCTCGTTATTGCTACGCGAAGAAACTTTCCGCGCGATTTCATAATCTCGAGAAAAGTTTTGTCCAAGTTTTATGGGGCGGGGAACAAAGAGATTTTATCCTTTCCAACTCCAATTAACTCCGTTTGGGAACGGGTTGGTTTCGAACGCATCTAACACTTTTCACATTTCTTGGAAATGTTTCAAGTGCGTGCATTGTTTCCCGTTATGAATATTTTCATTAATCCGAATTCGAGTGAAGCTGGGTAATTTGGTAATGGGGGATTTCGTTTCCTTTTTACTCGACCGATATGAAAGTTTTCCACGGTGGATCGGAGTTAATTACGGAAACGTTTGAACGAGCAGGGGGAGAACGAAAAAGAATCGGAATGGAGTGGAATCCTCTGAGTTGAGAATAATATTGTTCGAAAGAGGGGGGAAAGAAAATTTCAGAGAACAATGTCGCGTCCGTATCGAACGAGTGTGTAAAAGTATTTTGCAATACAAAGGGAAATATTCTCGTTTGATTTTATTCGGTTAATTCATAGGATAGAAAAATATTAAAAAAATTGGAGGTAAAAGTTTCTGTTATATTATATCGTTTGTAATTTAAAAATCACAGAGACGTTGAGAATTTTTAATAAAAGGTGTCTACATCGTCTCGTTGTAGTACGATCCACTTTAAAATTTTAAATCAATATTTTTACACGTGTACGATTTGATGATCATAGACATATCGAAATTAAAATTTCCACAACTCGAAAGATATCGAAGATAATGAAATTTGAATATCGACGCAGCTTTATATCGATAAAAGCTTGATTGGTTTGTGTTAATCATAAAAGATGGTCATCAGAAGCGTAGTAGAAATTTGTTTTCACGAGAAGATGGGGGGCTCGATCATCCGGTGGACAATAGACAGGCGTGCGTGACATCGTCAGCAGCCGATGCTATTGGGTTAGTGGTACCGCGGGAGCTTGATGAAGTGCACTTGAGTGTACTTGACGCAAAGACGCTGAATATGCAAGCTCGCCGGATGCCGGCTGTCGGCACGATGTATTACTGCGGATCTTATCCAGACCGCTGTCATCCATATTGAAACCTATTTGCATTTCAAACTTCTCCTTCGCGCACTC